GAAAAGCTTTACCAGTTCTAGAATGATGGGTGAACTTGATACTTATCTGAAAGTTGTGTGTGTATATACATGTATAACATTCCTGTATCACAAGGGTAAAAGGCCGTTATAAATAACTCCTCTTCAGGCCAAGTGTAAATACAGATTGCACTGAAGTTCATTGCTACTGTTAGCTATTTTACAAGACAATAGGTTCCCTCTTCCCATGTATGTTCCCACTGTAAAGCATGTCAGGTGTCCAATGACCTGGCATCACTAGGAAACTTGTTGTCTGTGGGCATGCATGTGTTACAAAAAATACAATAGGACACTGAAAGGGGTTCACGCAGGCCAAGTGGTTACTTCTACCAGATAGGTTCCCCTGTTAACATTCCGTGAGAGAGGTTTCCATTGTCAAACTGCTTAAACAGAATGACTTAGTGGCTCTCCCACAGAGCCAGTCATCTTTGACAAGGTACACCTTCATGTCTGCTCTCAAGGTCTCTCCTGTCAATGTCAGACACCACCATCCGATGTTTAATGAGTGAAAAGCAGACTTTATGGACATTGAACCATGTCTATAGTAATGGTTACCATGGCTTTGTTAGCAATATTTAGTCAGAACTCCCGGTGCAGTATAAAGCTATAATTGCAGTGTGACATGTTTGGGTGTTTGAAATAATAACCATGTTTACCACATGCTAGTTGTTTTGTCATGTACCAGGTACATAGGTATATGACTATATGTAGAATGTAAGGCAGTATACATGTACTGTTCATGTTCTGTATATCACTGTATTGATGGCTCTGCGCTGTGATGGACACTTTTAGCGAAATATTCAGACATGATAGAAGATTCCTCTACTTCATATCTGACAGAATCCTCACACTTTCTGTGCATGTTTATACACCGGTGTCAGATTGGGTTCAATATCAAAGGTCCCACTTCCTTTGTGTAGACATGTATTATTCATCGAGCACTTACAGTACACAGAAAGGGTTGAGAGGTGAACCTGTACAACAGACTGGTTAGAATGGGGACTATAGGTACACACACTTCCCACCCTACCAATGACCTGGGGTACATTCTCCATCAAGTCTTCACTGTCAGATCTGTAGAATGAGGTATATGATTAACATTTAATGATAACATAAGTACACTGATGGATTAAAAATAGGATGGAAATTGGACTGCATGGTCTAATAGATTATCTTATGTACTTGAAAGTAGTAGACTTGAGTAGCAGATGAAATACCGGTGCCTACAAGTATGAAGGAAAACTACAAATTATAAACAGTGCCGGCTTTCCAGCCTTGCACATTGTGTGGATGACTGGGTCATGTTACATGCCAGTTACTATGTCTCACAGGAGTATTGTACTGGCATGCTAATCTGGTGTGGAATGTATTGATCATGGTGGAACAATCGCTTGCCAATTTGTGCACACATTTTTTGTCAGATAGAGATTGCAGGTAATTTATCATTTCTGGGGTATTTGCACCGCTTGATTTTACACTGTAGACTTTTTATTGTTACGGGTACTCTACCCCAGTGTTCGATCAGTTGCTACTCTATACCAAGTGTTGAGTCGTTACCTTATCCTAGGTGTTCAGTTGTTACCCTACACCAGGTGTTCAGTTGTTACCCTAAAACAGGTGTTCAGTTGCTACCCTACAACAGGTGTTCAGTTGTTACCCTACAACAGGTATTCAGTTGTTACCCTACAACAGGTGTTCAGTTGTTACCCTACAACAGGTGTTCAGTTGTTACCCTACAGTTGTTACCCTACAACAGGTGTTCTGTTGTTACCCTATACCAGGTGTTCTGTTGTTACCCTATACCAGGTGTTGTTACCCTACACCAGATGTTCAGTTGTTACCCTACAGTTGTTACCCTACAACAGTTGTTCTGTTGTTACCCTATACCAGGTGTTCTGTTGTTATCCTATACCAGGTGTTAAGTTGTTACCCTATACCAGGTGTTGTTACCCTACACCAGGTGTTCAGTTGTTACCCTACACCAGGTGTTATGTTGTTACCCTATACCAGGTGTTGTTACCCTACACCAGGTGTTCAGTTGTTACCCTACACCAGGTGTTATGTTGTTACCCTATACCAGGTGTTGTTACCCTACACGTGGTGTTCAGTTGTTACCCTACAACAGATGTTCAGTTGTTAACCTACACCAGGTGTTCTGTTGTTACCCTACAATAGGTGTTCTGTTGTTACCCTATACCAGGTGTTAAGTTGTTACCCTATACTAGGTGTTGTTACCCTACACCAGGTGTTCTGTTGTTACCCTATACCAGGGGTTAAGTTGTTACCCTATACCAGGTGTTGTTACCCTACACCAGGTGTTGTTACCCTATACCAGATGTTCAGTTGTTACCCTACACCAGGTGTTGTTACCCTATACCAGATGTTCAGTTGTTACCCTACACCAGGTGTTGTTACCCTATACCAGATGTTCAGTTGTTACCCTACACCAGGTGTTGTTACCCTATACCAGATGTTCAGTTGTTACCCTACACCAGGTGTTGTTACCCTATACCAGATGTTCAGTTGTTACCCTACACCAGGTGTTGTTACCCTATACCAGATGTTCAGTTGTTACCCTACACCAGGTGTTGTTACCCTATACCAGATGTTCAGTTGTTACCCTACACCAGGTGTTGTTACCCTACACCAGATGTTCAGTTGTTACCCTACACCAGGTGTTGTTACCCTACACCAGGTGTTCAGTTGTTACCCTACAGTTGTTACCCTACAAAGTGTTACTGTTATCTAACTCCCTTTTTGCCAAGTTTGTAGAAATTTGGATTTGAACCTGGGACACACGATTATAGTTTTCCTTTAATATATAGATGTCTGTGTATGTTAGGTAAGATCATGATGTAAGATTGATTGCATCTTTATATATGTTCACCCTCTCATGGCTGGAAAATCAAAGGATTTAGTCATTGATCAGTGATCTGGAACACATACTGTGCTTTGGTTTTGTTATAATTATGCAACATGACAATGCAACAACTAAAAGTGTTACCTGCTTGTACCTGTGTCTGTTTCAACCTGTATTTATGGTGAGCAGTGGCCTGAAACATCCAGACACTAACCATGGGATATTTTGATAGATGTAATCCCTGTATACTATAGTCCGAGGTTCTATAACAGATAAGAAAGCTGTGCCTGTGGAAGGGATGTATATGATTTGTGTACAGGTTTTATCTAGCTTCTGCAGACTAAATAATGACAACTGCAGCATAGGTTTTGGCTGATCAGTACATGTGAACTCCCCAGCAGCTATTTCTGTGTACTGCTAACACTTTACCCATACTATCTGCCATCTGCTGATCCAAGCTATCTGCTGGATAGCAGTTTTGAGACATCTACTTGACCTTCAAGCATTCACTCGGATACAGTTGCCGAAAGTAATAAATGTAATGCCTCACCATGCTGTCTCTCAATAGTTGTCTTTCCCGTTGATCACCTTCTTTAAGAAGCTGATTTATCATTTTGAATTTTCAACTGAAATTGTAATTGGTTATGATCAGTAAGAGGTTGGTTATACCAAATTTGACAGTCATTGCAAACACGAAAGTAAATAGTAGGTATAGTAAATTTGCAATGTATTAAAAAATAATTCAAAACATATTTGGAAAGAGCAGAATAACACTATGATATACCTACATATAGAGTTAATATCATATAGGTTGAAAAATACATATCCCCAGATAGATTACTGTAATGACAAACATATATTGTCAGAAATAGGTATATATACTAGTATACAGGTAATAGAAACTCTTCAACACAAGCGTTAAAGTCTATACTGTCAGACATGCAGTCAAATGTGCTTATATTCTTTCTAAATGAATAGAGTATAGGTCCCAAATACTACAGATCTAGTACAGTGTACATGTACTGTGGTGAACTGTATAGGTGTCACTGATAAGCTCAATGGCCCTGTCTTTATAGCCATACAATGATAACGGGCTGAACCTGTACAAGTTCATACCTGGCGGACATATAAACGCCATAAGCTGTAGAGCAATTCCTATAATGTAGCCAACACTGCTACCTGCCCATGCATAGAGCATTTAGAAGATAAAATAGTTTGATTTACATATTGCCATAAGCAGTATATCATCACTTAGGTCAATAACTCAGTGGACAGCTTGGGAGGAGCAGTACAAACACAGATATATGGACCTATAAGTCCCCATCCCCCAGGCTTAACTGCCACTCTGCAAATAAAGTACTCTTACTGTTGCCATGTTTAAGGTCTATTGATTTAGGGGAAGCAATTTTTAAGTACAGGGCTTTTGTTCTATTGAGGTATGGCAGATTTATTGACGACCAGGTTCTTCCTTTAAGAACAACAAAATTGAGAAATTATTACTTATGCTGCAAATAGGGTTATGGCAGTGGAGAAGACTTAAAAAGGCAAAATGTAGAATCTGTTTTATGAAATGAGGACATTTGTGTATAATATGGTTTGTTATAAATATTTTTGAGTCTCTGAGACCCTTTCATTTATTCATTATATACATGTGTACAGGTGAACACTGAAATGCTACAAGCAGAAAATATACCACCATGTATATATAATAACATTTCATATGAGGTCTGAATTCTCACTTAATAACCTGGACGAGTTTCATCAATCATTTATAAAATAAATAACATAATAAGGAGGTCATGCAGACATGATAAAGCAAAAGCATGGCTAGCCACTATACAGAAATGTCAGTCAATTGATGCTATTATGACTTGACAAGTGAGATTTGATCACAGCTAATTCAGTGACATTATCGCTGTCCCTGATAACAAAGTTCTAGAACCAAACAATAGCACTTAATGCAGTGTTAACACTCTTTCGTGAATCAGGGTTTTCTGCAATATTAAGTTTTTCTTAGACATTCTCCTAGTACCTTTTCAGATTGTTGTTGCTAGTTTGATTCATGTATGTAAATTCACCAAAAAGGAAGAAATGTACTGAAAGATGAAGTGTTTTGTTTCAGGACAAGGTGGGGAAACAACCGTTACACACGGGGATCCTACAGCTTCATCCAAGTAGGAGCCAGCATGAGTGACACCGAGCTCCTGGCCGAACCTGTATTTGGATCTGCATCTGACAAGGTAAAGCTTTGGTACCTCAATATCTGACTACTCAGCTTCCAATGGCTCTTGGGCTTGTTTGACAAACACTTCTAAAATGATGTCTGTATATAACCATTATCAAAATATTCTGCAAAATAGAAAGTCTTGTTGACCTTCCTACCCTAAAATTTTGAAAACTGAAAGAGCAAATGTAGCATTGTCAATTTGCCTGAATAGAGTCTCCCCACATACTAAAATTGACTAAGGTCATCAGATCCTTCTGTATTGATATTAAAATTTATTAGGGTCATCAGATATAAGTTGCTTTATTGACTCCCACCAAATTAATGTGCTGATGTGCAACATTGATATGTCATTGGTTCTGCTTTGTCATTGAGGTTTTCATTTTGTTGCAGCCACAACTGTTGTTCGCGGGAGAAGCTACTCACTCAGAATACTACTCCACTACCCACGGTGCCCTGGAGACTGGCAAGAGGGAAGCAACCCGCTTCCTGGACATGTACAACATGTGTCATTCATAAGGAGTTACTACAATAATGTTTTCTTACCGGGGATCATAGGGACCTGTCAAATACAGGAAACTAGCTATAGCTAAGAACGATGCGTCATTGGCAAGCCAAAAACACTCGAGGAAAGTTTCAACTTTCATGCACAGAGAATGATTACCATTCATTGTGCACTTAACAATTTTTTATGACATACTCTGAAAATTGGAAAGTGACTTTGTTCTTTGCTGTTCGAAATAGATGATTCTGCCAGTTATATCGCAAACCTGTGTTGACTATTTTATGAAAGGTGACAATCACCCTGTGATGTCATTTATCTGTGCAACTGACAAATACAAACACTAGAATGACCATCAGCATATGATGGGAATTCCTCCTGGTGTGAATGAAGACAATTGTGTGCCGCTGAATATATTGGATATGTATATTTAATATTGTAAGTGCTATCCTGAAAGACTGATATGACAGTTTCTTTAGATTAAAAAATGCAAAAATGTAGAGTGAACTACTTGGATGTGTTACAGATAATGCAACAATGCTATTGTTTCCCCAGAGGAGACTAGACCAGTGTATTGGTCCCAAAGTAAAGTTTGTATTATTACAGAAGATCCTATGCAGTGTGCTCCAACACATGCTTGTTACCTGTCACATATAAAGTAGGGTGCTTGTTTTAAGTTACACATGTGTTCAGCTCAAAGTTGGAAAATGAGGACTGCCTGTATTATATAATATAATATATACATAGACATGTATATCATTAAGTGGATAATTGTCATGTTGTATATTCACATGGAGAAGAGAAAGTAGATGAGAGACTGTGTCCTATGCCAGCGTTATGATTTATATATTGAAGTGAATGAAGGATGTGAAACTTCCCTGTATATCCCCTGTACAAGTTTTATGAAGATGTTGGAATGAATAAGTATGGATTGATATAAGACCTTCACTACACTTGTAGGTCCCGCTCTGTGGTGACCTTGAGGTCAGGAACCAGGACACTCAATAAATGCGATTAACAATTATCACAATTGCGTAGACAATTGTCTACACAAATATATACATATATATATATATACATTCAAGAACTTGAGAAGTGAATGCTAGCACTGGGCCAGGAATTCTATAATTGCCACATGCACCCACTGAAAGTTATTGATTGTATGTTTGAGAGAGACGGGTGTTTGGATTGAGATTTGTTAGGAGTGTGATAGTATACTTGTTGTTACAATAGTCAGTCCTAATGTATTGCAGTTTTAATTGTTGTCGTTGATTACGGCTTAAATAGCAATTCAGGCCAAACATGTCTTATTTACAAAATCTAGTCTTAGGAGTTGGACACGACGTGTGGTCACTAATGAAAATCGTTACAGTTTGTATCAACAGTTTGGACATATTTCGTCCTTTCCTGTTTCTATGTTTTTCCGATGGCTGTCGTCTGAAGTAGAGAGTCTGTATTTCGCAACTTCTGATGTTGTCGTCATTGCTGTGTTATAGTTATGTTGTATCAACTTCAGTTCCGTGCCTACTCTCTTCATTTATATATGTCTTTATATCAGAGTTTTAAATATTACAAAAAAGATGTGATTCTGAATTATTACAACTTTGATAAATTAAAGTGGAGCTCTTTGATTGGTCAAAATCACATCACATGGTATGAAATGGTCTTCCCCATCAAATGGTTCGTTCTTAGAGTGTCATGTATATAACATGGTCTCATTCCTTGACAAAAAAATAAAAATTGTACCATTTAAGTGAAGATTATTTTGTTAATAAAAGAAATATAGATATAGGAAATAAGCGAGTTCAGGTTAGTGCCCGTTATTCTGTACATGTATGTTGCCACTGAGGTGAATAAACTAGTGTATGATTTGATGGAGGAGGAAGCAATAGTTATTGTTCCCACCATTGTGAACAAAATTTATAAAATACCATGTTCTTGATTTACAAGTACAATATATCTGATTGTTGAAATTCATATGTCACAATGATTAAAATTAATCAAGAAGTTAAAATATCCATCCAAAACAGAAAATTTATACTTTTTGCAGTTTGAAATATAAGATGCCAATATGCACCATATAATATATGTGTTATAGATATGTGATTTTACTGGCCTTTGAAGAATTCACGACAACTTTCACCCGTCTGAACGACTACATGACACTGATTTTAACTATCCGAATTACCTTGTGTTTGTTTTACCACTGCAATTGAAAGTCTATTTATTAAGCAGGCAATAGGTTATGAAGGCTAGTAACATGTACCTCAATAGTGGCATTTACCTCCGATTAACATTTCTGTTTTATTTACCATTTTATTTTCCATTGACGTTCTGGTATAGTGTCCATGAGTGACGTTGGTGAGGAGCATGATTCGTTCAATGATGCATAAAGTTATTTAGCGTCTTAGTTATATACATGTTATGTATATCTAAGTTAGCTTTACTGTTCATTGCCGGCTTGATGATGAGATACTGTGAATTTACTTAAAGTAGCAAAACACCATTGTAGTGCTGCCTACTTCAGTGCACTTATCTATCATCTATTATAGAACATCAGCCTTTACATTGCACTTGATATGTAATAGAAATGTTGGCGCTGTTCATAAAGTCTGTGCTAAAATAGGTCAGTTGACATCAGTATGCACTGGCATCAGTATGCACCGACATCATTTTGGACTGACATCAGTATGGACTGTCATCAGTATGCACTGACATCAGTATGGACTGTCAGACATCAGTATGCACCGACATCAGTATGAACTGTCAGTATGCACTGACATCAGTATGCACCGACATCAGTTGGACATCGTAGACATTGAAACTTGAGTTGTTCATCCATGTCATCAAGCTGCGGTTAGAGGTTAGAATTCTATCGCCTTGTTTTCTATTCACCCATTACCGTTTGTCCACTCCCTCCACCCTTTCTCACTGACAGCTGGCTCCAATTTCTATCAAAGGGAATATCTAGATCAGTCTTTAATTTTCTCAATATTATGTTTGCCATTTATGCATGACATTTACTCTAGATGTCTATATGATTGGACTAGCAAATGTTTACTTTAATATTAGTAAAGATTTGAAATATTTTTTGTGAGTCCAGAAATTTATGATAAAAAATAGTCAATTTGGCATGTTTGAATTTCAAATTAAGAAAACAAAAGGTGCAACCCTGGCATATAAAAGAAATATGGTTGAGATAGCAGAATACAACTGTTGGTGTATTCCACTTTATTACATTTGCATTTTAGCCAAGATATAGAAACCACTGTTTTAATAATTACAATCTCATTACTTTTGAACTAATGCTAGAGGAAATTTACTTACAAATATGAGTGGGTTTTTTTTCTTTTTAAGTTTTAGATATTTCATAGTTTCTTTGAATTATTATAAAAGTGTAGTACTAATATTTTACTCCAGCTTAAGTCAACTCTCCAGTACATATTTGCATTCTATAATTAGTGGATTATGTAACGACTTCTGTGATTGGTCATTCAATATTGAGAATCCATATTGTCCCTGTGTGAGGTCAATTATCAGAATTTCTTTACCATGCAAGTGACATTTTGCGCTGTGAAATTTAAAATCATGAATATTTGGGATTTATAGCTTAATACATTGATAACAAATTAAAGGATGGCAAAACAAACCTAAGAGAAGATTAATATCTGATATTTGTTCATGAAATTGGAGTCAGAACAGCACTCACAAACCGTCCAATGTTCAAAGAGCAGTTAACTTGCTTCAGTATATTTATGAATAATGTGTAGATTTTCGGGCCAAATTCTTCAAGACATCGCTCAAAAACTTATATATCTAAGTTCTCAGGACTTGAAGTGACTTTAACACAAATTTTGATGGAAGATGTTTTAAACAACAAATCAAAGTCATGAAAAACTTGGCCAGATCTAGATATCAATGATCAAAGGCAACGATCATTATCTGTCCCAACATACTTGATTCATCATACTTGTGAACCAAATGATAAAGAAATGAGTTGACATCTTTTAATTTGCTCAATACTAGTAACAAGTTGTGCTTTATAAATCGCATTTTATTAGAAATGGGACTTCACATTATAATCATTTATAGCCTATTTTTTGTTGTTTTTATTTTTTATGTGTATTTTAGCAGAATTTGGAACAAGTCATTTTAGTTGCATTAGAAAGCAGTGAGAGGAAATCATACGAAAGCCATGACATTGATGCATGACTAAGTGGTTGTTGAGGTAAACCCATTGCCCTGTCCATTTGTTGGTAAACATATATTTATGGCAAGTCAATGATATTGTAGGGCAGTTACATTTAGTCCTCATTTTAGCCACACTGTTCACTCATAAAAATTGTACACAATGGTTATCCTCCTCCGGCAAAGCTACTAGAAGTAATAGTCTTTTCTCCTTTGTTTTACTACACAGTGTTAATATGTCAGCATTCCTTTAAGTTATGGCATTTCCAGCTAACCTAATTGGGGAGGCTACTCTACCTGTGGTACTGTGCAGTGTGTGATGACGGGATGGTGACCAACAACAACTGAATATGAATAAAATGTTTGAAAACAGAAAAAATAACTCTATAGTCTTTGTTTTCATTTCATGTGTGCAATCAAGCCTTGTTAAATCCAGTCCCCTTTGTTTTAATGGTTTGGTTCTGACTGATTTCTCTAAATTAATTTAACACTTTTGGATAAAAATGGGAAATGTGTCCACAAACTTAGATGCAGACTGGATAGAGAGATTGATGACTGATTAACGAGTATTTAATACATTCAACTCTCTTGTATTTGTATAGTATTATTTTGCAGCAACAGGTCACAAATACTTCTAAAGATGCTATGTTGCCATACGACAACAAAGTTGTCTTAGTAGTCAAATGAATTGACCACCATTATTGCACTATGGCCAAGAAACAAAAGTTACGTTGTTTTTAAATGTACAGACAACCAATTTTTCAATGTTCCAGAAAGACAACGAAGTTGCATTATACTTTCACAACCCATGTTGCAAGTAACGAATGAAAACCATAAGTTTGAAGTATTCCCGGTGTCTGAGATTGCTGTGTAACCCAAAGACATCAGCTACTATGTACTTGTGTATCAGGACAACCCAGGTTATACTGGAACCAAGGAACAACAGAGTTCTTAACAATACAAACTTGAGGGTTTTGCTTTGTATTCAGAGAAAACAAAGTTGCATTGTAGCTAAATGTGTGACAACCAAGTCTGCAATTTAACAATATGTGCACTGTTGTTAAGTGTTTGGGTAAACAATGCCACTATGTAACCTAGAGACAACACAGTTTCAGTATGATTAAGTGTTTTGCAACTAAGATTGCACTTTAATTAAGTGTGTTGACAACCAAGGTTCTATATTTTATCCAAAATTGTAAAGACCATAGCTGTTAATAGGACGTAAAACACAAACAAACCAAACCAAAATTGTAATGATTATGGCTGTTAATAGGATGTAAAACACAAACAAACCAAACCAAAATTGTAATGATTATGGCTGTTAATAGGACGTAAAACACAAACAAACCAAACCAAAATTGTAATGATTATGGCTGTTAATAGGATGTAAAACACAAACAAACCGAACCAAAATTGTAATGATTATGGCTGTTAATAGGACGTAAAACACAAACAAACCAAACCAAAATTGTAATGATTATGGCTGTTAATAGGATGTAAAACACAAACAAACCGAACCAAAATTGTAATGATTATGGCTGTTAATAGGACGTAAAACACAAACAAACCAAACCAAAATTGTAATGATTATGGCTGTTAATAGGATGTAAAACACAAACAAACCGAACCAAAATTGTAATGATTATGGCTGTTAATAGGACGTAAAACACAAACAAACCGAACCAAAATTGTAATGATTGTGGCTGTTAATTGGACGTAGAACACAAACAAACCAAACCAAAACTGCACTTCAATCAAAGAGAAACCCATGCTTCAATGTAACAGCCAAGTTAATGTAACAGCCAAGTTAATGTACAGCAATAAATCTGGAATCATTTACAACCATATGCACTGTTGCTATGTTACCAGGTGGTTGAACCGCAACGTTTGTGTTAAAAGTGAAAACAACCAAAAACACCAAGAGGTAACCATATTTGTACTCAACAAACACACTACTTTGCACAAAATCATTAAGGGACCAAAGTTTTAATGAATTTACACATTGAATCAACCACGAAGAGATGAAGCAAAAACACCAAGGGACGTCATATCAACCGTAACGACACAGCATAAAAAAGTACAACAGACAATAAAAACACCAAGAGACGTCTTATCAACGACGGGGAGACAACACACAAACACCAAGGTACGTCTTATCAACCACAAAAAGACAACACAAAAACACCAAGGGACGTCTTATCTACCAGAAAGAGACGACACAAAAACACCAAGGGACGTCTTATCAACCAGTAAGAGACAACACAAAAACACCAAGGGACGTCTTATCAACCAGCAGGGGACAACACAAAAACTCCAAGGTACGTCTTATCAACCAGCAGGGGACAACACAAAAACTCCAAGGTACGTCTTATCAACCAGCAGGGGACAACACAAAAACTCCAAGGTACGTCTTATCAACCAGCAGGGGACAACACAAAAACTCCAAGGTACGTCTTATCAACCAGCAGGGGACAACACAAAAACTCCAAGGTACGTCTTATCAACCAGCAGGGGACAACACAAAAACTCCAAGGTACGTCTTATCAACCAGCAGGGGACAACACAAAAACTCCAAGGTACGTCTTATCAACCAGCAGGGGACAACACAAAAACTCCAAGGTACGTCTTATCAACCAGCAGGGGACAACACAAAAACTCCAAGGTACGTCTTATCAACCAGCAGGGGACAACACAAAAACTCCAAGGTACGTCTTATCAACCAGCAGGGGACAACACAAAAACTCCAAGGTACGTCTTATCAACCAGCAGGGGACAACACAAAAACTCCAAGGTACGTCTTATCAACCAGCAGGGGACAACACAAAAACTCCAAGGTACGTCTTATCAACCAGCAGGGGACAACACAAAAACTCCAAGGTACGTCTTATCAACCAGCAGGGGACAACACAAAAACTCCAAGGTACGTCTTATCAACCAGCAGGGGACAACACAAAAACTCCAAGGTACGTCTTATCAACCAGCAGGGGACAACACAAAAACTCCAAGGTACGTCTTATCAACCAGCAGGGGACAACACAAAAACTCCAAGGTACGTCTTATCAACCAGCAGGGGACAACACAAAAACTCCAAGGTACGTCTTATCAACCAGCAGGGGACAACACAAAAACTCCAAGGTACGTCTTATCAACCAGCAGGGGACAACACAAAAACTCCAAGGTACGTCTTATCAACCAGCAGGGGACAACACAAAAACTCCAAGGTACGTCTTATCAACCAGCAGGGGACAACACAAAAACTCCAAGGTACGTCTTATCAACCAGCAGGGGACAACACAAAAACTCCAAGGTACGTCTTATCAACCAGCAGGGGACAACACAAAAACTCCAAGGTACGTCTTATCAACCAGCAGGGGACAACACAAAAACTCCAAGGTACGTCTTATCAACCAGAAAGAAACAACACAAAAACACCAAGGGACGTCTTATCAACCAGTAAGAGACAACACAAAAACACCAAGGGACGTTTTATCAACCAGAAAGAGACAACACAAAAACACCAAGGGACGTCTTATCAACCAGAAAGAGACAACACAAAAACACCAAGGGACGTTTTATCAACCAGAAAGAGACAACACAAAAAACACCAATGAACGTCTTATCAACCACGGGTAGACAACACAAAAACACCAAGGGACGTCTCATCAACCACGGGTAGGCAACAAAAAACAACAAAGGACGTCTTTTTAACCATACACTATAGTAGTTATTACCAAGAGACAGCTGAGTCAATAGCCACAATTGGACGGTCAGTGTCTCAGTACAAGAAAACATCACCAAGAGTAAGCCAACTTTGTACTGAAAGGTAGAAAATGCCGCCATTAAGTCAAATGATATCATTTGGTTAACCAAAGTACTATAAACTTGTTAACTGTTTCACTGTGATGGAGTGTTTAAATAAAAAATAGTTGCTCTGTAACCAAGGATATCCATAGTAATACTTTTACCAATACCGAGTCAAAGCCACGAGACACTCTATGACGCACCCTTAACGTGTTTGCTAACTGCATTTAATCATAAATGCAGATTGCTTAGATGTCAGAAAAATAAAGACGAAAATTGTATTAACATTGACAAGGCCTGATTTCCTCAAGAAAGTTAAACAAATGTTGCTTGTGACATACTCTTAAACTTGCATGGTTTAATTGTCATCTAAATATCATAAAACATGTTTAATTGACAATTTACGACTTTTGAATCGATGGTGCAGCCTCTCTGAGAGGATCCAGTCATCCTTTTATGTTTGTCGCTGCCTTCGTACGTTATTTCAGCCTTAGTATTCCTCCTTTCATCATGAATAATCATCTCCGCGGTTCAAGAGACAATTGGCTGTTAAAATACCTTGCTATGTGCAACGAAGTCTCAAAGGACCAGGAGGGAAGTATCTTTTCGGAGATACTAAATATTTCTGTGTCGGATCATTTTTTACGATACTCTCCCATGCTTTAGCCAACGAACAGCACATTGGTTGATCTGGTAAGTGCCTAGAACACCGCTTTATTGACAAAGCACAACTGATATCAAAGGCTGTGATGTTTAGTACCAACATACCGTTGCATACGAAAGAATTTCGTGAGAAGATACCTCATGTTGTACATTGTAAGGTATTTGAGGAAACCTATAAACTTGAAACTTGAGAAACAGTAACAACGTAAAGCAGAATTGTTATTGGAAAGGAGCAAGCTTACTGTCAACGATCACATGTACCTAGCAATGAAAAACGTTGAGCAATCTTCTCATCCAGCCTAGACACGATAATGACTTCGGAAAAAAAGAGAAAGAAAAGAAAGCAAAGCTATTAAATTGATATTGATTTGATATTGAAACTATTGCTTCTATGTGGACTGGTGGTCGCCTGACACAGCTAAACAAACTTAAAATGACGAGTTGCTCGTTATCATGACAAAGTTCCAAACGAAATTTTAAGACATTGAACCTATTCCAAGGTATATATTCAAAAAGTGTACAAAATCTGCTCCCACTGATATGCTTCCATCATCAACAAAATCGGGTCCAGTGTTCTAACAGCCATTTGCATCTTCTCTTGGAGAAATCTGGTTTAGACAAGAAAGAAATGAAGACCTACTGATTTGTGTCGAACTGTTGACTGCATGCAAGTTACAAATACTGCTCTCCTGTGAATACAACATAACTTGTGTTTTTGAGTATGCACTTTAGAGTGCCGTGTTGTTTTTTGTCACTTCCCCGGTTCTCGCTAGAAGGACGTGACATTACTTATTTTTGACCTAGATTTACAGTTTGATTGTAGTCAATGAAGCCATAGACACTTACCCTTCTATAACCTATGGGTGTTGTTATCTTTGTAGTCTTTTTAATGGTTCCGTGTAATTCTATATCTTTCTT